AAATTGCAGTGCCTCCCACACGTTGTACACACTTGATGGAATCTTCCTTCCCTTCCATCTGAAAAGCTGTGGCCATCTCAGTGGAGTGTAGCTGAGGCAGTACCGTAACCGCTCTTTCCCACGTAGTTAGCAGTTCTTTATTTCTAAAATAGAAAGAAGGAAGATTGTGTTGGTCAGTTGCCTCTGAATCCCAGTCCAAGTCCTGTTGCTGCCACCTGGAACCTAAATTCTCCTCTCCTAGACAGTGGCTGACCAAACAAAATAACCACTTTTTTTTTTACTCATTCATTCATTCATTCATTCATTCATTCATTCATTCTTTACACAATTGTATGCCGGGTCTCTAGCACATACCAGTGAGGAAGTGCTAGGGCAGGCAGACCAGTAAGGAAGTCAGAGTAGGACATGCTGGCCTAGACCAAGGGACAGCAGGGAGAAGAGCGAGGTGGATAGCTGGGAGGGGAGGCAGGCCCCATGTGGAATGTCCACCGGATACCAGAGCATGCTAACATTTAGCCAGACTGGCTTCTCAAGGGGATGGAATCCCCAGAGACAATGAGCCATCAGGCAGGTCCACATATGTTGTCCTGCTTTGAGGACTACCTGGCTTCTGTCCAGCTGGCAGCTGTGCATGAGTCTCCATGGCCTGCTCTGGCTCTTCTGGGATGTGAGGCTTTGTGATGCTGAGGGAATAAACCCCTCCAAGTCCAGTCTGCCACTAACACAAACCACGTGTGGCCCTCCACGCCAGTTTCCACACTGTTTTCCTTGGACAGCATGTCTCCTTTCTCTTTACCACAAGCTGTCTTGAAAACTGCTGATGGAGTGTTCTCTCATCCCCCTTGGAGGCTTGCAATGTGGACACTTGACGTGGCTCCCTCTCCTTCCCTGCCCCCCAGACTGACTCATTTTCCTCCTCAGTTTCCAGTCCTCCTCACCCTGAGCACCACTTCCTTTTATTATCTGAGGGGAGGAGCATGGGATTTTCTAGTTTCCAAGGATAGCAGTCTACCGCTGGACTTAGCCTGGCATGTCTCTGGTCCTGCTGTTGCAGACAGCCTGGGTCTGGGGGTCCCCACAGAGTGTCTGGAATGTGGCCTGTGGGTGCCAAGTATGACAGTTCTCTGGATAGATGCAGGTTGTGGCTTGTGAATTTGGGCACACTAAGACCAAAAGCAAAATAGCTCACAGGCCTGAGATCTCCTGTCCTTGCAAATAGTGTTCTTAGATTGTCATTAACCGTTGACAGAGTAATGAAGAACGTAAAATAAAACTGGATATGGCTCAATGAGGAGAGTGGGTGTTAGAGTCTAGCCCTGCACTGTTGGTGATGATGGCACTAGTCATGTGAGGCTATTTACATTATTAAGAATTAAATAAAATTAAAAATTTGATTCTTCAGTCACCAGAGCTGTGTTTCAGGTGCTCAGCCTTGGAGTTCAGTCTAGGGCTAGTGGCTACAGGTAGGGACTGGGCAGATAGATACAGAACATTTCCATTATTGGTGAAAGTTCTCGAGCTCTGGCTACTGAGGGTACTTGGATAGTCTGAGGGGTTTTGCCATCCTTAAAACACGGCCTCATGATGGAATGTTATTAAGCTTTAAGAAGAAAGGACATTCTGACACCTGCTACCACATGGATGAACCTCAGGGACATGGTGCTGAGTGAAATAAGCCAGACGCCAAAGGACAAATACTGCATGATTCCATTACATGCAGTACCTAGAACAGGTAGATTTGTACAGATAGAAAGTGGAGTGGTGGTTGCCAGGGGCTTAGGGAGGAGAATAGGGAGTTAGTGTTTACTGGGGACAGGGTTTCAGTTTAAGCTGATGAAGAAGTTCTGGAGATGGATGGTGGTGACGGGTACACAACAATGCTAACGTGCTTAATGGCACTCATCGTATACTTAAAATGGTCAACATGGCAAGGTTCATGTTAAGTCCATTTAACACAATTTCTAAAAACACAAAGCCTCACAGACTACTAAAAATTATTCCCAAATAACTTTCAGAATAATGCATTCTTTATGGGCAGAGTGCAAGGAGGGGGATCTGCTGTTGAGCACCTCTATGACCCTAAAGGGTTCACGTTCAGCATTCGCGGATAAACGACCCTGCCAACCCGGCTGTGGTCCTCATTCCCCAGATGGTGAATCAGGCAGGCTCCGTGGGTGAGGAGTCTGGCCCCCGACACACAGCTGGTGTGAGGATGCATCAGGATTTAACCCCAGGACTGTCTGGTCCCCAGGAGTACTATCTGTGGTTAGACTTTACAGCCTTAAACCCATGTCTGCTGCCTTAAATTAATAACACTTGGGGAAACACTTCAGCTCTTTGGGCCATGCTTGTCTGGGCAAAAGCAAGTTAGGACAAGGGACGAGAGAGTAACTTCCTAAGACAGACTGTCTCAGACCACAGGCAGCACGGAGGGAGACCTCTTTAGTGGGCCTCCTTCAGATGGAGGCTCGGAAGCTGGGAGAATGGAGAATGGGCATGGAGGGTGGATGGATAACTGGTCCATACCTTTTCTTTTTTCCTGAGTTCCCTTTATTGGTATTCCAGCATTTTCTTAACAAGTAAAATGGAGAAGGACAAAAAAGATGATATTAGGCAAAACCAACAATCTCTAAAAGACTCTGCGACTGAGACTGATTGATCACCCTGCTTTTCAAAAGAAAGCGTGTTGTTCACTTGTGCACTGAATATTAAACTTACTTCATCTCAGGCTGATTTTTCACGCTTGCGTGACACTCCAAAGCCACCTACAAGAGTGGTCTTAGGGAAAGAGAGTGGGATTTAGATGAAGGTCCTTGAACCAGCTGGACCACCACTCAGCTGAGCGACTTCAGGCAGCTGTCCCTCTCTCTGCCTCCCGGTTTCTCCTAGCTGGGACATGGAAAGTGTACATTTATGTCACAGAGTTACTGTAAAAGTCAGATAAAATCATGCGTGGAAAGGCTTGCTGACTGTAAACTGACAAACAAATGTCAGTAGTGGTGACTGATTATTATTTAATGTTAGCAATATAAATAGTATTAACCAGGGCACTTAGCAAACATGTGAAGCTGTCCCCAAAGTGTTCCACTCATTTGCTTTCATTGCTTTAGTCAGTTTTTACTGAGTGCCTATTTTGTGCTGGCATCGAAAAGCTCTCGAATTCAAAGAAAGAAGCCTGCGTTTGCCAGCAGGTCTGCCATGGCCTCACCAGTGGCTGAATGACAGTGGACCAAGCATTTCCCGTCACCATACAGCAGTTAGGGTCAGTGGGAAACCACAAATAAGACCAGAGCCTCTGGGCAGCCCTTCAGGGTACTAGCCAAGCTGAGGCAGCCCCGCCTACCCGGGGGTATCACAGAAGACTGCACCAAGGGGGCAGGGAGCCCCAGCCTGTTTCCCAGGCCTGCAGAGCAGTGCATTTTTGTTGTTCTCACTGCAACGTAGAGGCAGCTGGTATGACTGCAGAGAAGCCACGGGCTTTATTCTCTGGCCGCATCACTTGCTGGCTACAGGCCCATGGCAGATTTCTTCATTCTCTGGGCTTCAGTTTCCTGGCTAATCATGTCTACCTTGAAGGAATATTCTGAAGATTTAGTGAGAGCATGTGTCTAAAGAATCTAGTCCATGCTTGGCACAGATAACCTGTTTCTCTTATTCTTCCAGCCTCTCCTCCCTCCCCCTACGTAAGAGCCCTGCTTATTTCTCAAGGGCTATTCAGAGCTTATTTCATTCTATCAGAGGGGCATCTTGAATGCCAGGGTGACTTTCTCCTTGAGGTGAAATGATGAGCAGACTTTTTAACCTTCCAGCCATCACTTAGGAGGCTCAAGACTCCCTTTCGCTCTGCTTGAATCCTGGGCCCAGGTACCAGTAGGGTGGTTCTGCTACTATGACAGACCTCTCTATACAACAAGGGGTCATCTCTCACTTGGGCTGCATGTCCATTGGAGGTCGTTGGGGGCACCTGACGCTCAGTGGCAGAGAAGCCACTGTCTGGAGTATGACCAGTCACACGGCAGAAAGAAGCGGAGGCAATGAATCACGCACCACTCATAACTCTCCCACCCCAAAGTGACACATACCTCTTCTGCTCAATTGAACTGGCCACATCCCATTGCAAGGGGGTGGGAAAGTACAAATCTACCATGTGCTCAGGAGAAGAACCAGAAATCTGATGACAGTCTTAGTCACTACCATGGCCTGCCTGGCTTTAATCCATAAAGTAATACTGCAGGTTTGTATCATTGTGGCCAACTTAAAGATGAGACCCAAGGTATGTTACTTCCCCAAGATCACAAGCAACAGGTCCTTGGGATTCTGTATATCCAATCAGAGAGGCATTTATTGCACTAGTAACGGTTTCCAACTTGGGTACTCTGCCCCTGTTCTTTCTCCCCTACAACAGCCTGCCCCTACTTCTGAAGGTGCTTCCTACACCACCCTGTAATGATCCATTTCCTTTTCAAATCTCTCTAGGCTATGAGTCTTTTCATCTCCGAACCCCATGTGCCTAGCACAGAGCCAGGCACAGATTTATCTGTTGGACCGGCCTGGGGAATCTTAGTGTGTAGTAGGGGAGCATAATGATCTCACAGGCATAGACCTAACCAGATTAATTGAGTCTCAGTGGTCTGTTACCTAACAAAACCTGCAATCCTTAGGAAACAGATTGACCTACTGTCAGTGGAATTCTGGTGGCTCTGGGGGTATTGTTCATGTTTCAGTTCCTGTGGCTAGAGACCCCCCCAGAAAAAACTGAGAATGGTCTCTCTCAGCTCTGAGCTTTTGCTAATATGGCAGCTATGGACTTCGAGAATTGTTTTCATGGAGATCCTAGGTCCAATTGACTTTGCTTTCCCCATTAGTCTGGGTTTCTGAAAAGCTGAACACAGTGAGCCTTTATATATCAAATCACATGTTTCACATAATTCCCTTAAAATGTCAGAGGTGCAGTTTATCATATTAAAGACTTCTGTTTGTGCTGTTCTCTCCCTGTTTAGATGCAGATGTTGGACAAATTTCCCATGGAAGGAGGGCAGAAGGACCCCAAACAGCGGATCATTCCCTTTCTGCCAGGTAGGTGAGACACATGCTGTCAGCAGGGGCCTCCAGGGGATCCAGGACAACCCCCACATCTCTCAGCTCAGCTTTCTGGGGCACTGTCCTAATGGCCAGAGTCCCAGTCGTTGTAGAAATTAGTGCCTAAGAATACGGGCTTTGGGGTTAGTTGCTACACCATCTACTTAGGCAAGATACTTCACCTCCAGGATCCTCAGTTTTTTCTGTCTCTAAAATGAGAATAATTAGATCTCATGAAGTTTTTGTAGTGAGTGGCATCTTTATTATGCTTTTGTTGTGTAATGAATTCATACCAATGTAGCAGCTTAAAACCACAGTCATTTATTATCTCACAGTTCAGTTGGTTGGAAGTCCAGGCAGGTGCTGCTGGGTTCTCTGTTTAGAGCCTCACAAAGCAGAAGTCATCATTTTGGCCAGGCTGGGCTCTTATCTGGAGGATTGGGGGAGAATCCACTTCCAGCCTCATTCAAGTTGTTGACAGCGTTCAATTCTTTGCCGCTGTAAAAGTAAAATACCTGTTTCCTTGCTGGCTCTGGGGCTTGGGGATTAGGATAGAACATCATTGGGAGTCCTTTCTAGAAATTCTGCCGGCCTATCTGCCACAGCTACCAGGCCCCTTCTGAGTGCTAGGCAGTGCTCCAGGCACTGTGGGGGAGTTGACACACTTAGGCTGATCTCTGCCCTTAAGGTATTAAGTGTTCCTTTTCCCCAAAAAAAATTCCTTACCAAAGGAATAGCATTAAGGCTTCTGCTCAAAAAAATGGGCTACCCAAACCAGAGTTATTGCTTCGAATAATAATATTGGATGTCTACCATAGGCCAGTCACGGGGCTAAGCGGTCTACATTCGTTACCTTGTTTAGTCTTCAGAATAACCCTGTGCCCATTTTACAGATGAGGAAGTTGAAACTCAGAGAAATTATAATTGTCTTCACAAATAGCAGAGCTGGGATTCAGACACGGTTTTGACTGGCCCCATGATCCACTGTTATTATCCTTTGGTAAATTACTTTAGCACACAGAGTTTCATTCTTCATTTGCAAATTGGAGATAATAATGTTACTTAAGTGATAGAGTTATTATGAGGATTAGCGATAATCAGTGAATTGATAGTTTCCCTAAATCACAAATGTTTAGAGAGCTGGAAGGTTCCCTTAGGATCCTTTCCATGTTGCAGACAAGGAAGCAGGCAGGCCTAGAGATGCAGGGGACTCCCTGGGTTACACAGGAGCCCATCCTCCCCTCCCTACTCCATGATTCTACAGAACCATCCAGTGGTTCTTCCATATATTAGCATCACTGAGTGGATTTAGAGACAGCGTGGATGTATTTGCCAGGTCCCGTCTCCTGGGAGAATCATTTGCCTAAAAAAAACTAATGTGTTTAGCTCTTCCACGGAGAAAGTGTGCAATCACACTGGAATTTTTGTTTCCTATTGGAGAAAACCCAGTGTACCAACTGCCAACAGCCAACTAGCGCTGCTCCAGAGCACGTGCTTCAGAGGCAGTTCTGTGACCTCAAGCAGGTGACAACCCCCTGCCCCAGAGCCTCAGTTTATTTATTTGTAAAATGGGACAATGCCCTCCTGCTTTACAAAGCTTCTCTCCCTGGCACCTAGTGGGTTCTCTATAAAAGAAAGAAACAGGATCCTGGGGCACTCCTTTGGAATTTCTTAGAATTCACGTTTTAGAGTCATACTTAAATGATCAGTCTGAAGATTCAAGTTGAATTAGATTCCAAATGTAGGCCCTTCCTTCAAGGAAGGAAAGAAAAGCAGGGAACTGTAACTCTTTACTGGATGAAAGGCAGAACCAGCTGTGAAAAAACTTCCCAGGACAGGGGAGAACTTGAGCTGACCCTCTCCTAAGCCCCTGAAAGCTTTCGTGGTTATGGAATCCATTTCCACCCATGAATTTATGAAAATGCTGTTCTCAGAGACTCAGCCCCATTTTCCCTGCTTGGGACACCCACTTGCTGCTTGGAGAGGTGTGGTTGGGCCCCAGGACCCCTAGAGCATCCCTTCGTGGCCCGCCTCTTCGCTCTTCCCTGAGGCCAAGGCCAAGGGCAGGGATACATGGGAGGCACATGCCCTCTCCTAGGGGTCAGTTTTCTGCCAAGACTGCCGCGTCAGCAGAACAAAAGCAAGTCTCTTGTTAGCACAAAGGCAGGGGGAGGGGAAAGCAGCCCTGTACAATTTTCCATCCCAGCAAGAGCTGGGGAAGCCAACTTGGCAGAGCATGCAGCTTGAAAAATAAGACTTACAGTTTGGCCTTCCATCACTGTGGAAAACAAAAGCCTGCCCATTCCCACCAAAGGCTGGGCTCTCTGCTGAGCAACCCTTTCCACTCCAGTAAGGCTAGCCTACCGGGCAAGGCTCACCCTCCTTCCCCAAAATTCACGCAGAAGCACATTAGGCACAGATAAGGGGCCGTTGCCCCATTTCACTCAGAGCCACTGGCCAAGGAGGTCCAGACCACATGGTTCTGCTCCACAGCCCAGGGCCTGAGCTGGGTTCCAGTTCTGCTGCGGATAGATGATGAACTAGCTCATCAGAGGCAGATCTTAAAAAACCAAGCTGCAGGTTGAGAAAAGAACATGTGCTCAGAGTATGAGGCAGTATCATCTAACCCATTAAAGAAAAAAGTGATTACTCTTGTGAGCACCTAGGAAGGGCCAAGCCCTGTTAGTAGGTGTGTCATGGAGGTTACTACTAAGAAATAGGAGCTTCAGTCCCATTTTACAGATGAGAAAGTGAGGCTCTGGGAGGTAAATGCATTTCCCAAGGCAGCACAGTCATCCTGGATTGGCTAACCACGGAGCCTTTGGCCTCCCAGCAGCTGCCATAGGGCTTCCTGTCCCCCTCGCTGGCAGAGTACCTGCCATATGTCCAGAGACTCCTGTCCTACTGAGGCCACGCAGGAAGAGGGGTGGTGTTTTTGTTGCTGTGTCACACCCCCCTGGAGACATTGAAGATGTCAGAGTTCTCCATCCTTCTCTCTCAAGACCAGCCTATACTGTTCCCCTGGGCCGGTGCTTGCACCATGCATATTGTGAATTGAGTTGGGTCACAACCTCCCCAATAAGAAGCCTGAACACCCCACTCCCCACCCTTCCTCTGGTTTACGGAGGGGACATTTTATCAAAATGGGACTGAAATGGCTTTGGTAGGGACTCCTTTCCAATTCTGAGAAACAGATTAGAGGCAGGAAACATTTACTGTGGGAGGTTTCTCTTCAGGCAGGCATTCCTAATTTTCCTAAAGGCTTGGGATTCTCCTAGGGATTCTAAACTGCAAACAGTCCCACCCACGAGGGTGGTAATTTGATTATCACAATGACTCAGGGTGGAATGGGGATGGGCCAGGGATCCTAAACATCCTGCAGGGTGGGGGACACTCCCACACAGGGAAGGATTGCCCCACCCAAAATATCAACAGGGTCCCTCCCTGTTGGGGAACACTGACTGTCAATGCCAAGAGGGCAGCCCCCTGCGCAGGCCCATGGAGGGCTCCCAGAGAGACAGTAGCTAGAGTGTACCTATCAACTGAATGGAAACAGGAATACCAGGTTGTAAACTCTCCCCACTTGGCTGCATCATTTGCTTTTTTATGGTACACAACATGAACATTTTCTGATTCCAGGAGTAATACATGTTTATGGTAGGAAATTTGGGGAAAGTCAAAAAAGAAAACAAAAAGGCTCTGTCTTCCACCCCTTGGAGACAACCACTTTGAATCCTGCATGATGCGTTTTGTTCTAGATTTTCCTTTTCTAGTAAACATGGTATGTCAGAAGTTTGACTGACTCATCAGAATTAAAACGATCACCATAATAAACAAATGCAATTCCCTGTTACTAAAGAATATGAGTATATATTTTATCTCACTGTGGGTTATTGTTTTCTTTTTAATTGGTAGAAATTAGGGAGGGGAGAAACCTCACCATTAGGTTGACCATATATACCTAATTTCCTAATTGTGCCCCTCTGCTAAACTGAGGTGGTCAGATTATTTTAAATGTTAGATTAACCACATTGGCTTTTGGGGCACAAATCTCGCTTACCAGCTTGCATTGCAAATCTTGGAGTCAATAGGCTGTTCTCATTCATTTCGGTTCTGTCTTATGAAAACTCATTTGGACCTTTCCTTCTATCCTGTTCCTGCTCACCCAAGCTAGATCTGTGGAGATTGTAGCCTCCCCAGAGCCATGTTGGAGCACTGGTTGATCCCTCCTTGTCCTGCGAGCCTTGTGACCCAGATTCCTCTCCTTGACTTGCCTTCTCAGACCAGAAGTAGGTGAAGCTCTCTGTAGCTCTCTATACTCTGCTGTCTGAAGAGCTGTGGTCTCCCTGTGCCCTCTTCTTTGACCTCCCCATGGAGATCTCCTGGCACTCTACGTAAGCTTGGCAGAGGGGCTTGTCTCCATCCCCCATCTCTTTGGCCCCCCTCAGTGTCTTATTTCTGATTTTGCCCATCCCCTGCCTCTATGACAGGTCCAGAACATGAGGCCAAGCCATCTTAATAGTTAGTGCATGCACTTGGCCACCACCTCCCCATGACTCTCCCCTATTAGGCTCATGGAAACTCACCAGTTTGCTTTAAAGAAACCTCATCCAGAACATTATAGCATCTTGGATGTTTCCAGACATCCTCAGTGGCATCGTTTACATACTTGTCTTTGTTTGTGACCTGCCCACATGTCACACAGGAAGTCCTGGTACTACATCCAGTGCTGGGGATATCACCAAGCAAGTAGTAGATTCTCACTTAGTTTTTGATGAGTTAGGAAGGCTTGGATCCTTTTTGTTACAAACAGATGATTAGGGGAGGAATTTAGGTACCCCTCAGACCTATCAGTGCCACATCTGCACCCTCCAGGGTTGCTGAGAGCTTGTCATTGCCCCCTTACAATACCACATGTGCTCTCATCTCCTGCAGGCAAAATTCTCTTCCGACGAAGCCACATCCGGGATGTGGCGGTCAAACGCCTGATACCGATTGATGAGTACTGTAAGGTAAGTCTAAGAAATGCTAACACTTCCCTGTGTCTCATGTCTTCCCTCTGGGTTGTATTTTTTTCTTCTTTTCCCTTTCTGGCTACAAAATAGTCATTGCAAGCAATCTGCAGGTGCAAAAAATGTAAAACCAGAAAAGCAATCACCTGTGAGTCCTCAGAGGCAACAATTATTAAGGTCTCTACATGTTTCTCTTTTCTCTCACAATGCATTTCTTTATGGTGTTGACACCATCCCATATGTGTTATTTTTGTTGCTCTTTCTTTTTTAATATTGTGATAGTAAGAATTTCCCCATACTATTACAACATCTTTTTGAGCCTACTTTAAATGGCTGCGTAGTATTCCATTGTGTGTGAATGTTCCAAAAGTTATTTAGTCCCTGTTATTGGACAACGCAGCTGGCTTCCAATCCCTTGAATGTTCTAAACTACAAGGGGCCTGCTTTTTGGCTGTATCTCATTTGATTTGAGGCTGTGGTTGGGAAAGAAGTACGCTTTTCCTACCCTTAGTATTTATTTCTCTAACTTAAAATCAATAACAGCTCTGACTGGAGAAGGGTGGGAGTAGCAAGAGATGCTTTAACAATGGAGCAGATGGGGATCCCTGGGTGGCACAGCGGTTTAGTGCCTGCCTTTGGCCCAGGGCGCGATCCTGGAGACCCGGGATCGAATCCCACGTCGGGCTCCCGATGCATGGAGCCTGCTTTTCCCTCTGCCTGTGTTTCTGCCTCTCTCTCTCTCTCTCTTTCTCTGTGTGATTATCATAAACAAATAAAAATAAATAAATAAACAAACAAACAAACAATGGAGCAGAGCAGCAGGGACGCCTGGGTGGCTCAACAGGTGAGCATCTGCTTTCGTCCCAGGGCATGATCCTGGCTGGAGTCCCCGGAACGAGTCCCAGATTGGGTTCCCTGCGTGGAGCCTGCCTCTCCCTCTGCCTATGTCTCTGCCTCTCTCTCTCTCGCTCGGTCTCTCTCTCACATGAATAAATAAAAATTAAAAATCTTAAAAAAAAAAGAAAACAATGGAGCAGCAAATGCTCTCTCTCCCAAAGACTGGAAACAAAGCAAGTATATTTGCTCTTCTCACTTCTATTCTACATTTTCCTGGATGTTCTAGCCAGTGGAAGCAGGCAAAAAAAAAAAGAAAATAAAAGGCATACAGTTCAAAAAGGAAGAAGTAAAACTGCCTTGATTTACAGATGACATGATTCCATTGTAGAAAATCATAAGGGATCCATTAAAAAAACTGCTAGAACTAATAAACGAGTTTAGTAAGACCACAGGATACAAGATCAATATCAAAAATCCGTTTTAGAGGCACCTGGCTGGCTCAGGTGGTGTGGAGTGTGAGACTTGATCTCAGGGTTGTAAGTTCAAGCCCCACATTGGACGTGGAGCCTACTTTAAAAAATAAAGAAAAAATAAAAATCTTTCCTTATAAAAAATAAGAAAATTCCACTTACAATAACATCAAAAAGAATAAAATACTTAGGAATAAATTTAATAAAAGAAATACAAGGCTTATACATTGAAACTACAGAACACTATTGAGAGAAATTAAATCAGTTTTAAATTAATGGAGAGACATTCCATCCCCCTGAATTAGAAAACTCAGTAGTGTTAAAGTGGTAATTCTTATTACTCAGGTGTAAAAAAAAAATGAAATCTTGCCATTTCCAATGACATAGAGGGAACTAGAGAATATTATGCTAAGTGAAACAAGTCAGTCAGAGAAAGACAAATACCATATGATTTCACTCATATGTGGAATTTAAGAAACAAAACAAATGATCAAAGGTGGAAAAAATGAGAGGCAAACAAAGAAACGGAGTCTTAACTATAGAGAACAAACTGATGGTTACAGAGGGGTAGGTGGGGAGATGGGTGAAATAGTGATGGGTATTAAGGAGTGCACTTGCTGTGATGAACACCCAGTGTTGTATGGAAGTGTTGAATCACTATATTGTACACCTGAAACTAACATTACAGTGTATGTTGACTAACTGGAATTTAAATTAAAACTTTAAAAAAAATCTAGGAGAATAAATTAGAATTTAGGGGTAAGGTGAATTTCTTAACAAGGACAACATGGTGTGTGTGTGTGTGTGTGTGTGTGTGTGTGTGTGTGTGTATTATATATGTAGAAGTTGTAGAAATTTATATGAAAAAAACAACCATACAGGAAAAATGGGCAAAGGACAAGATTGGAAATACAAAAAAAAACAAAACAAAAAAAAAATCCCAATGAGAAATAATAGCAAAAAATAATAAATAGGGACACCTGGATGGCTCAGTCAGTTAAGCGTTTGCCTTCGGCTCAGGTTATGATCTCGGGGTCCTGGAATCAAGCCGTGCATTGGGCTCCCTGCTCTATGGAGATCCTGCTTCCCCTTCTCCCTCTGCCTGCCACTCTGCCTACTTGTGCACGTGCTTTCTCTCTCTCTCTCTCAAGTAAATAATAAAACCTTTAAAAAATAATAATAAAATGGCAGCTCTTCCCCATCTGATCTATAGATTCAATATATCTCTGCCAAAATCCTAGTAAGCTTTTTTGTAGAATTAACAAGCTGATCCTAAGTTATATGGAGAAATGCAAGGAACCCAAAATAGCTAAAACAATTATGAAAAAAAAAGGACAAAATTAGGGGCTTGTAGCACCCATTTTCAAAACTTCCTACAAAAGCTACAGTAATCAAGACAGTGTGGTACTAGCATAAGGAGAGACATACAGATCAGTGGAACAGAAGTTACAGCCTAGAAATAAACTTTTGTGAAATTTATGGTCAATTGATTTTCAGCAATGGTGCTAAGAAATTCAATAGGAAAAGTATAATCTTTTTAACAGTGTGGGACAATAGGACATCCATATGCCAAAAAAAAAGAAAGGAAAAAAATTAAGTTGGATCCTTACCTTGCACCATGTCCAAAAATCAACTCAAAATGGATCACAGACCTAAACATAAAAGCTAAAATTATAAAACTTCCAGAAGAAAACAGAGGAGAAAATCTTCATGACCATGTGTAGGCAGAGAGTTCCTAGATATAACATCAAAAGAGAAAAATTGATGAATTGGACTTCATTAAACTTCCAAATCCTGTGAAGAAAATGAAAAGATATGCCACAGATTACGAAAAAATATTTGTAAATCATATCTCTGACAAGGGACTTGTATTTAATCTGTATAAAGATTTCTTACAACTCAACAATAAAGATGGCCCAGTTTTAAAATAGACAAAAGATTTGAATCGGGATTTCACCCAAGAAGATGCACAATGGTTAATAAGCACAGGAAAAGGTGTTCAACTTCATTAATCATTAGGTAATGCAAAATAAAACCATAATGAGAAACCTACACAGCAACTGGAACAGCTGTACCCCACAAGACAGACAAACTCAAGAGCTGGTGAGGATATGGGGAAACTGGAGCCCTCATTCTGGTGGGAACACATGATGGGAAACCACTTTGGAAAATAATTCGGCACTTTCTTCCACAAGTGAAATTTCCTGTATGACCACTCTTGGGTACCTGTCTACTCCAGACAAAGACTTGGATGTACATGTTCATAGCAATACCAATTCATAATAGCCAAAAACTGGAAGCAATCCAAATGTCCATCATTAGGTGCATAGATAAAGAAAATATGGAATACCCATGCAATGGAATATTTTTCAACAATTAAAATGCCGTGACATCCTGATAAATGCTGCAACTTGGATGAATCTCAAACACATGATGCAAAAGAAGCCAGATGCAAAAGATGATGTGTTACATGATTCGATCTATATGAAATGTGCAGAAAAGGCAACTTTATAGAGACAGAACAGTGGTTTCCTAGGCCTGAGGACAGTGCAGGCAGAGATGGACCACCCATTAGGTGGAGGAAATTTTTGAGGCGATGGAAAAGTTCTAAAACTGGAATGTGGCAATGGTTGCACAACTCTGTAATTTACTAAGTATCGTTGAGTTGTGTATTTATAGTGCATGGATTTTATGGTACATAAATTATACTTCAATACATCTGTAAAAAAAAAAATGAAAGGGGGGTAGTGTGGGGATAGATGACCCTCATCTTGGCAGATGTCATGGAAGGACAGAAAATCACTCCTGATCACTCCTATCTTCTCTTTGCCAGGCATGACCTTGTTTCATCCCTCCAGTAATCTTGGAAAGTTGGTTTTATTATTCCTGTTACGTACACGAGGAAACAGAGGCCCAATAGAGTTACTTCCAGCAATAGTATTGGAAGATTTGATGGTTGAACACTGGTCTTTTAGGACTTCGACATTCACATACCACTTACAGCCTCTCTGTTTCTCTCCTAAGGATATCCTTAAAAAGGGATTGGGGAGTAAAGGGCAGGGAAGGTCACCTAGGCACAAAGATATTACTACTGTCTCCCAGCTCTTAGATGAAAGTTTGAATTTTCTCCTCTTTGTGTCTTCAGATTTCTAGAGCTTAAACGTCCATTGTCCAGGCCTTGCTGGCAAGCACTTTGGACCTCTGAGGTCACCTTGTCCAGCTGGGGATTTCCAGCTGGTACCTTCCATAGCAACTGTTAATCTCTCAGTCCAAAGTGTTGCTATCCTGCTTCTTCCCCAGCACACAACTTCTCTCCAGAGTCATACTTTGCTCATATCCAGGGCTTCACAAACCCATGGACATTTGATTTGGAAAAGGAGATTTAAAATCCTAAAATGAGGGGCACCTGAGTGGCTTGGTTGGGCATCCCACTCTTGATTTCTACTCAGGTTGTGATCTCGGGGTCATGAAATCGAGCCCTGTGTTGGGCTCTGTGCTCAGCGGGGAGTCTGCTTGAGGATCTCTCTCCCTCTCCTCCCTCTCCTGCCCCTCCCCCCCAAATAAAGAAAGAAATCTTTTTTTTTTATCTTTTTTTTTAATCCTGAAATGAAAAAAGATAGCAGCTGCCTGCAACTGGCTCATGCTTGGAATGGTATGGGCATCATGAATTCACCTGGATTAGCCATAGGAAAA